CACAGAAAATAACAAATTTAAGCACACTTTAATCATATGAATTTTAAATTCAATTCACAGTAATGCATCTATTATTTCCCAAGTATGTATTGTACAGTTTGCTATCTGTCCATCCATTCATGCTTCTATTGCGTAAATAAATTATATTAAATAAAAATAGTTTTGGTAATCCACATGTGCAATGTGTCACGGTTCTCAATGTGACATCCAGACGAGGTCGCCCCAGAAGTGCCCAACAGGGAATTTGGACTCTAGACTTTTTCTGCCGTAGTTCTGCTGTCTTGCCTCTGGGCCACACTTCAGTTTTTGTTTCTGCCTATGTTTATATTGCCTGTCTGCAGCACTAGGCGGCTGGACTTTACCTGTGGCTTCTCCTGTCTCTCTATGTCCACCTGAGCCAGGTAGCTCATTAGCAAGGTATTTAAACCTACCGCTCCATTGGCAGTTCTTTGATTCTGGTGATTGTGTGTTGCTCCTGTTTTGTCTCCTGATGCTTGTTCTCCAGATTGAACCTGGCTCCTGACCTTGGATTTCCTCCTTGTTTATCCTGACTTCTGGTATCCTCTGACTTTGGCTTATCCTCAATGATCCTTCTGCTTGTGTCCTTGTCTATACTGCGAATTGGAGCCCCTTTCATGCACAGCCCCTGTACACAGATTCACAGTCCTGGTGATTTCTAAACTTATCACCTTGGACTGTGTATATCTGCAAGAGTGAGCACAAATCTCTGCCTACTGGTCTCCCACCTCAGGAAAGACACCAACACAATGTGTTACTGTTATAAATGATTATATAAATATATTAATGCAATTTCATGCCTCTCTGCACACTTTTTTTTTTTTATACCTCCAAGACTTCATCTCAAAAATACTAGGGAAGGAGTTGTCTTTCCTTTTTATAGATAGCACCTGCCTAATATCATGTAGTTCCTCTTGATCTGCCAAAACAGTTCTGATGCATCTAGGAATGGACTCCACCTCTGAATGTGTCCTATGGTATTTTATACCAAGGCATTAGCAGCAGATCTTTTAAGTCCTGCAAGTTGGGAGGTGGGGCCTTCAAAAGATCAGATGGTTTGCCAGGTGTGTGTCATTTGGCCAAGTGCGTGTGTCAGACCAGGCAACCTACTTCTGTTGCTCCATGGTCCAGTTCTAACACTAACATCCTCACTAAAGGTGCAGTGGACCGGTCTGCAGCTATGCAGCCATATACACAGCAATCTGCAATGTATTGTGTGTTCTGACAACATACTATCATGGCCAGTGTGGCGGAACCTACAGCTAATTCTGTATGTTTTGTCTTTTTCCGTTCAGGAGTTATGGTATATGAACATTCTACATTCGACTCCCGAACGAGGACCACCCCTGTACCCCATTAGAATGTTCACACCAGCAACTTAAGTGTAAAACTGGCAGGGAAGTAATTAATGAATACTTCCCCTGGGTGGCCCCCATTTCGTATAACCGAATGCACGTGATCGACAAGAGTGGTGGCCATTTTGTCTCCCAGACTTGAGCAGCAGCACTTGATCGTTAAGTGCCTAGAACTCTTTTCATCTAGGCACTCGCATGGACCCTGGTAAAGATTTGACCGCTGCCCGTTCTACTTCCCGACCAACTATGTGAACGGTGTTCAGGAGATGGGAACTACCGACTAGGAGGAGCTCCGTACTCCGAAATTAAGAGAATCCCTTGCATGGTGTTCGCACAGGAACCCCCGAACAGAGACCGGCTGGGGCACCTATTCCACTGGAACTGTTTTGGGCTATCACCTCGAGTCCTTCCGGTCAAAACTTTACCCTGGTGACAATCCAATTCCACCAAACTGAGTGATATTTGGATAGGTTATGCACTCAGATCAGGGCTATCCAGGGATATAACTTTTGTGGGGGTTCCCAGTTATGGTGGGGTACTTTTGGGGTACTGTATATTTAATGTAGGTTTTTCTTTACCTGAGAGATAATTGAATAATATGTTTTCTCACACAATTATCTCTCAGATACAGAGGACCCTGAGAAGAAAAACCATATATTATTGTTTTTGAGACCCCATGTAGGATACGAACCGCATGTGGCCTGAAATAGATC